ATCAGAATAAAGGAATGAAGAGCTTGAAGTACATTTTAGAGGCAAACATTGTAGGCTTACAACCAAGAGTAATTTACCTAGAAAAACTGAATATACTATGGTGGGAGATAAAAATAGATATTTAATGAAATAGAGGAGTACTAAGCATTCCTGATGAAAAGACCAGAGCTGAATAGAAAATGTAACATACAGATATAGAAAACAAAAGAAACATATGAAGGCAAATATGAGCAAGCAATCATAAGGGACTAAATAAGATTAAACTGTTTGCATTCTTATGTGTGGAGATTTATATATATATATATATATATGTATATCTATATATACATACATGCATATACACATATATGTATATGTATACATACATACACACACACATACACACACACACACACACATATCCTTGGAACCCAGAATCATCAGGGGTCAAAGAGAAAGTTTAATTAGATGGTCTGGGAATAATTCGATTATGTTTTGATGATCTTAAAAGGAGAATAGAAAAAGGAATACATTGAGAGATAGGGGAAGAATAGGGATTATGTCACAGAAATGTAGTGTTTCAGTAAGTGGGAGATGAAGTGGGTGATACTTGAATCTTACTCTCACTTAAATTTGTCAAAGGAGGGAAGAATACACATATTGGGTACAGGAAAATATTTCACCCAATGGAGAAAAAGAAAGGAAAGAAGCTAAGGGAAAGGAAAGGAATGAAAAAGTGGGTAGATGAAGGGAGGGCAGCCAGGTGATGCAGTGTGTATACAGAAGTGGGCCTGAAGTCAATAAGACTCATCTTCCTGAGTTCAAATCTGGCTTCAGACACTTACTAGCTGTGTGATCCTGGGAAAGTCACTTAACCCTGTTTGCCTCAGTTCCTCATCTATAAAATGAGCCAGAGAAGGAAATGGCAAACCACTCCAGTATCTTTGCCAAGAAAGCCCCAGTGGAATCACAGAGAGTCGGACATGACTGAAATGACTGAACAACAGACGAAGGGGTGCTCATTAACTGAGGAATAGATGAATACGTTATAGTACATATAAATGATGCAACAGCATCCTGGAAGAAATGATAAAGAGGATGGTGTCAGAAAAACCTGGGAAGACTTAGTGAACAGAAACAGGAGAATAGTTTACACAGTAACAACAACATTGCAAAGATGATCAACTGTGAAAGACTTGGTAACTCTGATCAACACAATGACCCATCACAATCCCAAAGGACTCATGATGAAAAATACCATCCACCTCCAGGTAGAGAACAGAAGAGTTCTTTCTTTTTCTTTTCTTTAGAACGTGGCTAATGTGGAAATTAGTTTTGCACAACATATTTGTAATGGGTTTTGTATTTCTTACCTTCTCAGTGGGTTAGGGGAGTGGTGTGAGGAGAGCAAGACAATTTAAAACTCAAAATAAAATAAGATTGAATAAAACAATGGAGTGTATTAGCTGCTACAGTAAATGTTGGGAACAGGCGGCTGATAATCACACCTCCTCCAGCCCCTGGAATTTGCCCCACAAACCTAGAACAGGACTTCTCTTGAGGACTGTCATGTTCCCAATGATGCTTTGGGGCCCAGAGAGACCCACATTCATTGCAAAGGAGGTCTTACAACTATGTGCAAGCACACAGCATGAGTATAATCTCTAAGCACAGAAGGTTTTGAAAAGTGGGATGGTAAAGGCAGGAAAAAAATGGTGGTAGAATCTGGATGATCTTGAAGATGCAAGCATAAGCAGCAGAGAAGCAGGTGAAAAGCATGAGATTCAATGAATTTATCTCATGGTTTGTCCCCATTTCACTGGGCTGGGAGTAAAGGGGAGTGAGCTTCAGACAGTGTAGTTCATATTCTATGCTGCAGTAACAAAAAAGCATGCAGTGATGTGACAGGTGACAAAAAACAAGCAGTTTCAGTATGTCTAACTTAGTTTTTGGGTTTTTTTTCCCATTTTTTTAGGTATTTGGGGTTAAGTGACTTGCCCAGAATCACACAGTTAGTAAGTGTCAAGTGACTGGTCTGAGGCCAGATTTGAACTCAGGCCCTCCTGACTTCAGGGCCGGAGCTCTATCCACTGTGCCACCTAGCTGTCCCAGTATGTCTACCTTAGGATGAACAACACCGTCCATCCTACCAGGTCAAAGAAAGGGAAGTGATTTGGTGGGACCACTTGCAGATATTAATTAGCCTCTTTAACAGACCTGTGCAAGAATGAGACTGATGGGGTCCTCTTTCTGCTAGAATGTGTAATTTAAAGTTGACTAATGCTTACAATAGACACATAGGAAGTGTGCCAGCAATTTTAGGAATGGGTGCTAGGAATGTCTGTTGTTCATATTACCTTGAATTGTTAAGTAAATGTCCATTTCACTACTATGATGTCATGTGATTAATAATGTATGTCTTTTTTCAGGAGGGAATTCAGAGAAGAAAAATGAACTGTCTCCAAACAGTGGATTTTTAACAGATGATGAACCCAAAGAGGTTTAAGGAATTATGGCACAGTTGGGGTTGGGGGTGGGGAGGGAGATGCCTATGACATACTGGGAATGAAGGTCATGAAGGAGACAGGAGGAAATGGGATCAGGGGTACCTGTAAAGATGCAAGCTTTAACAAGAAAAAAAAATATCTTCTCTAGGAATGAGGAGAAATAGAGGTTGAAGTCACTGAGAGGTTTAGAGAAGGGGTTGAGAGAAATTGAAAGATTTCAGAGATGGCTTCAATATTCTCAGTAAAGGGCAAAGGAATATCATTTGCTAATAGTGAAGGTAAAGAGAAAGAGGCTGGGGGCCTGAGGAAAGATCTGGAATAGCAGTTATGAAGAGAGTATTAGAACCTTTAAGGAATGAATAAAATGGCTAAATAAATTGTGGCATATGAATGTAATAGAATATTTCTGTGCTGTAAGAAATAATGTATGCGATAAATAAAAAAAACATGGAAAGATCTACATGAACTGATGTAGTTTAAAGTAAGCAGAGCCCCAGTAAAATGTATACACAATGACTATGATAATGTAAACAGAAAGAACAACCACACAGGAAAAAGTTAAACATGAGTGTTATAAAGTTATAAAGGACAAACATGGCTCAAAAGAATAGACATATGAGAAGGTACTCCCACTCCACCTCTTTGTAGAGGTGAGAGGTCGACAAGTTTTGAACATCGGGGTCAGTTGTGTTCATTTTTTCCCTTTTTTTGCCTTAAAATATTTGTTATATGGGGGGGAGGGATGTCGAGGGAAACTAAAGTTATGTAGGAAAAAACCAAAATAGATTAATAAAGCTTTTTTTTTAAAAAAGTATTTACTGTATTTCAATAAAGACCCAATTGATTAGGTATCATAAATCTGCTGTGGATTCAGTTAGTCCAATTTCATGATTTCTTATAGCCCTACATGGTAGCTTGGGAACAAGAAATGAAGAAGTGGATGGTATGAGTACAGTTAAGGGTTAGTGAGGGTGGTGGGGAGAAGTGGAAGAAGTAGTCAAAAGTATGGGAATTAAAGGGCCAATGAGAGGATATTAGGAAACGACTGATAATAGGGTTAAAGATTCAGGAGGGAGGAAGGTGAGGAAAGAAAATGATTGATGGTATGGGAGAACAGAAAGGAATAAAAAACTAAAAGACATAGCGACAGTAAAACACATATTTGGGACAAGTAAGATTAGGGGATGTGTAACGATTGATGAGTGAGGGGATTCCAGAAAAAAAATTAATAAGGATAAAGATAAAATCCAGCCATTTAAAAGATCAGATTGGAGGGGATGAAAGGAAGAACACTCATTTTGAAGTCAGAGGATCTGCGTTTTTTTTTTTTAAGTGGGGAGTAATAGGGTTAGCCCTATGGCTTAGTAAGAGTGAGTCATGTAACATTCTGGGCTTACATTTCTTTCAGTTAGGTTCAAATAATCTTTAAGGTATTCTCCACTTTTAAATCATATGGTCCTATATAACTTTCCCTCTGTGATGCTCTCCTAACTTGCTCTTGTATTCTCCTGTCTATTTAGGATTGAGCAATGGGCAGGGCAACTACTTTCAGGTTTTAGAGATAACCATGTGGGTGACTACTCCCAATATTATGGCTCCACGGCTGCAGCCCATTAATGATCATCTGGTAATCTTAAATAACACTTAGCAAAGGCATTTACTAATATGGTATAATAGTAAGAGCTGCTAACCATAAAATATTCCTCCCATGAGAATACATTCCTACTAATACATACAGCATCCCTGGGAAGGGTAGATTCAAACTTAGTGTACAATAGTAGTGAGGCAGAGGTGTAGGAAAGTAATTCATGGTTATTTATTATCTGAGTTCTAAATTTGAAAACATTCTTCTGTTTGACTTTCTTGCAACAATTAATGTTAAATATTAAAGAAAGGCCTGAGAAGATTCAAAGAAACTAATTCATTGAAATATTCAGAGACTTAACAAATTTATATTTATAAATATCTAGATAGCTAATAACAACAACAATAATAATAATAATGAATTTTCATATTATGTAGATGTATATATTAGTTTTTGGGCTTCAAAAGTCAGACAGAACTTGCATGTCTTCCTTTTAAAAAAACCCCTAAACTTTTGCAAATCAAGAATGCTTTAGAAACAAATGAAATGTCTATATAATAAAAATATTTATAAAGATTAAAAAGTGAAGTATTTACTGAAGAATTGAGTATATGCTTTCTTTAAATTATTATTAAATATTTATTACAAACATTAAATAATTATTACATAAGTGGATTGCATTTTTATGTATTTAAAATATTTGATTAAAAAATTTAGTTGTCCATTTAGCCATATTACAGAAAATGGTATATAAGTAGCCCTTATAATAGGGGCTAAAGTTTGGAATATTCCTGGTCTCATAAGATTCGGTTGTAACATATTATTAGTGAGGATAATTACATTATTACAAAAAGACACAATTAAGCTTTAATATTATTTACATGTAAGTATATAACACTGTATAAAATTAGCATAAATACTATACTCACCAGCCAAAGCAAGAATATATTCCTGAAATCTTGTTCCAATTCGGTTTGTGGCAGTGCAGTTATACCTTCCAAAGTCACTGTCAGATGTAGGTGCAATCTTAAATGAGAGAGAGAGAGAGAGAGAGAGAGAGAGACAGAGAGACTTAGAAATCAAGTTCTATGTCTAATGCAGGATAAGCAAAATTGTTGTCAATCCAGCTATGCTTCCCTGTGTTCATTCATAGGCTTGGTAGGAATAAATAATCACATAGTATTTTAGAATACAATTTTTCCAAGAAGGATGATCCATGTCAATGTGATGAGATTCCTGGGAAGGAAACTTTGCTTAGAAACATTTAAAGAATCTCCCACAAATGTGAGTGTTTGGGTTCTAGAAAGGAGGGAGAGATTGCTTCTTGTCCAGTGGCAAAATGAAAATTGGTCACCCTACATGGTAGTCCATCCTACACAGACTAATTCACTCTCCTTTTCCCCCATTTTTTCTCTCATCCTTCCTCTCCCTCTCTTCTTCCTTGGTCTCTCTCACTTTCTTTCCACCTTGAGAAGACAAATTGCAGCACTGCTATGTGGATGAGTATTTAGGATAGAGGAGGAGACAGTCTATTCTTAAGCAGTATCTTCCCTCAGGGAGCAGTTAATGGTGATTTGTAGCAGAAGTTCAAGGTGAGTTGCAAGTATTTTCCCAGAAGCCCTGAGGGGAGAGCTTCTGGACCTCAGGTTGCTGGCCGCCTCTACTTTTCTATTTTCTGAGCCCCTGCTTTTCTATTTTGTGAATACAGGTCGGGTGCCAGAAATACGACAGTGGATTTCTTCAGCTTAAAAAATGATAGCAAATACAGCACTGAGTCATTTCCTCCAGAAGCACATGGAAGAAGCAGACATGTTAAGACAAGCTTAGACGTTTCCAAAATTTTAATTACTGCCAAAAAAGACTACTTGGAGAGAAAATCCAGTGCATGTTCTTGGACCGTGAAGATGTTCTGGGAAATGGAATTGCTTGCTCAGTAGCTCCAAAAATGTTTAGTTTTCAGGGGAACCACAGGGAAGCACTACGTATCTCTTAGAGACTATGTGTAGCCCTGTGGGAAAGGTAATATTCACCAGTATGTCAGAGTCTTATTCTGACAGCAATCTCAAATTTCAGGTCCCTTCTAGAAGGAGTGGATTCACTATTTAAAAAAAAAATTAAAAAAAAATTAAGTATTTACTATGTGCCAGGCATCGGATAAGTGCTGGGGACGCAGAGAAAGGAAAAAAAAACAAACCCCAAAACAGTCTCTTCCTTCAAGAAGATTACATGCTAATGGGAAAATACCATGTAAACTGCTAGACAGATACAAGATATATCTATATCTAGATATAAATTACACAAATAATCACATCTGTATACATATACACACATGTAATTATTTATGTAATTGTATGTTATAAAACTGTAATACAGAGATCAATTTATGTATCTAGATGGATGGGATTCTGTGAGGGGAAGGCATTAGCACTTGGGAGGAAATATGAAAAGCCTTCTGGAGGAGGTGGATTTGAGGTGAGTTTTGAAGAAAGTCAGGGAACCTAAGCCATAAAGATGAGGGAGGGGAGGGTCTTACATATACACATATTTGGAGTTTGTATTTGATCATGACGTAACAGAACACGGTGGTGCCCTCAACAGTAATAGGAAAGTTGGGAAGAGGCAGCTTTCAGAGAAAGATGATTACTTTTGCTTTGGATATGTTAAATTTGAGATGCCCATGAGACATTCAATTCCAGATGTCCAAAAGGTAGTTGGTGATGCTATATAAACCTGGGAATTATGTGCAGAGAGATGATAAATAAACCCATAGGAATTGACCAAAAAATACAGTATATAGAGAAAGGGGGGAAGGACAGAGTCTTAGGGGACATCTATGATTAATGAGAGTAACAGATGAAGGAACAGCAAAAGAGATGGGGAAGGAGTGGTGAGATAGGCTGGAGGCATACCAGGAGTTAAGTGGTTTCACAAAAAACTTGAGAGATGAGAGAATAAAGTAGAAGAGGGTGATGAACATTGTTAAAGGTTGCAGAGAGGTCAAGAATGATGAAGACTGAAAAAAGGCTTATAGATTTAGAACATTATTTACTTTGGAGATGACATTTTCAGTAAAATGAAGGAAACTGAAGCCAGATTGCAGAGGGTTTAGAAGTAAATGGGAGAAAAGGGAGTAGAGGCATCTCGCGTGGATGGCTTTCTCAAGTGGTTCAGCCAGAAAAAAGGAAGGAGAGATACAGGATGATAGCTAGTGGGGATGGCAGGATCAAGTGAAGGACTTTTAAATATGGAGCCACATCGGTATAGGAAAGAGGGAAGGAGCCACTAGAGAGGAAGAGATAATGAAGATATGAGATAAAGCGGGAATAATAATGGGGTCAGTCTTGTGGAGAAGTAAAGAGGGGATGGGCTCATTATTAACAGTACCATACCTGGCATTAACTGTCCCATACTTTAGCACTGTGAATGCCTGTAATAGCACCCACCTCCCAGAACTGTTGTGAGGATCAAACAAGACAATAATTGTAAAGTTCTTAGTACAGTGCCTGGCACACAGTAAGCACTATATAAATGTTAGCTATTAGCTGTATAGGAGCCGGGGACACTTTCCCTCATTATTTGGGTATGAAATGGCTTGATGTTATAATATAGCTTAATATGTAATATAAAATACATTAAACATAATGTACATTGATATATGGTATAATTAATATACAATATTCTAACATAGCTTAATAAACTAGTGTAGATACAAGCTATACTCTTAAGTATATTAGGAAATTTCCTGGAATAACTGTAGGTGGAGGCAGTGAGCCACAGAGAAAAACTATCTTTTTGGAATAAGGCCCTATAGGAAACTTGGAATTTGCCAATGATTTTTTTTGTTTGTGTTTTTTTAACAGACAAACAGAGTCAATAAAAGCCGTCTCAGTTTCAGTGATCGTAGTGGCTACTGTCTGAGCGTGAGCTGTAGAATTATATGCCACAGCTTCTCAGCAAGGTAATGTGTGAACCTGCACAGGTGAATTGCTTTTACTACAACTGTCTGCCCACCCTCTAGGTTGTATATCTAGGCAAGACTTCTTTCATCTCTTTCCTGGAGATGACAAACAGCCACTGAGTTGAGGCTTTAAGAGAGTCACAAGGAAGACACTTCTCCTGATCTTAAGCAATGGCCATTTCCTTAGCTGAAAGAGCTCTGTGCTCTCCAGGTGAAAAGAACGTGGGGATGAGGTGAGGGAATGGAGAAGAGAATATGCATTTAAATAGCATTTATATATGTGTCGGGTACTGTGCCATAAGCACTTTTTACAAATATTATCTCATCTGATTCTCATAACAACAACTCTGTGAGAAAGGTGCTATTATTATATCCATTTTTACATTTGGGGAAATAAAGGCAAAGCATAGGTTAAGTGATCTGCCCAGGATCACACACAGCTAGTATCTGAGACTTAACCCAGTGCTCTATTCACTGCACCATTAGTTTCTCTTTTGTCTGTATAACTTTACATATGCGTGTGTATTCATGCCTATGTAGGTACATACACATATGTGTGTACATATGTGCACATATCTATGTTTCTGTCTAGTGGCATACAGTGATGCTTACATGTACACATGTATATATGTATATATTATATATGCATATGATTTTTGGGGTAAGGATAAGGAGCTGGACCATGGGTCACATTAGTGGACATGCATACGAGATCATGACTAAGGAGGGCAGCCGAAGCTTACCTACTATCCTATTCAAATAAATGACTGTGACCACATTATTTGTTGCCCTCAAATGTACAGAAGAAATCATAAAGTATTCTACAACATCAAGAACCGACTGGCAAGATTTTGAGGATATAACTGATCTATGGAATAGAACTTGATGTGTTATATAATAGTTATTTTTTATTCTTACTCTATATTTATTGCTTTTGTAACAGGAATGATAAAAATTCAGGAAGGATTCCACAAAATTTTAATCAGCCCTACTTCTTAATGTCTATATTACATCTAAATCACAGGATTGGAAAAATAAGCTATTTCATTTGAAAAACTCCCTAGGAAGGCTTCCTGGCACAACATAAACAGGAAATATTGGCTTGGTTAGCAATCCTCACAATCTTTGATGTGGTGTGGTACAGAGGAAACAGTGCTAAACTTGGACCTGAATTCAAATCCTGACTTTTCCTCTTACTGCCTGTGTGACTTTGGGCAAGTTACTTAATCATTTTGGGCCTCAGTTGGACAAGATGGTTTATGAGGTCTCTTACAATTCAAGATTTATGATCCTAATAAATGCTTTTTGGTTGATGTTATGACCTTCTTGATATTTAAGACCAGATTTTTATTGAAGTTGAGCTTAATTTCTATCATTTTACTCTCACTGCAGATGAAGTGGTCAAAATTATTTGAAAAACATTCAAAATTAATTTGAAATATATAATTAACCTTATAGGCTGTTACACCTCATGCCCGAATTCTAGTCTCAACACACACAATTCTGTTCAATCAATTCAAGGGAAATACTTGCCAGTAGAAATAGATTTAATTTTCAATTTCCATAACTATCATTAAGAAAGTGTTTGCATCAAATTACTGTTAACTTTAACTCTAGTTCAAAGAAAAAAACCCCATAAATATTTATCTAACAAAGAGATGATATTAACTAAAAGGTCAGTTTCAAAGCCTGTTAATTTTAAAAAGAAAAAAACCACCCATGTTAATCATATTTGAGTCAGCTATCAATTAGCAGATCATCAAATTATGGGCTTCTAATAGCTAACAGCTATTGTAAATGACAAAAAAAATGGTTCAAATAGGTTGAAATTTTTTGTGCATTCAATTCTAAAAATAAACTAGGAAAATGTTTAATAAAAATAATTCTCAAGGTTCTAATGGCAGTTGACAGAATCCTAAAAGAAATAATGTTTTAAAAGTAAGCAAAGGGGGCAGCTAGGTGGTGCAGTGGATACAGCACCAACCCTGGAGTCAGGAGGACCTGAGTTCAAATCTGACCTCAGACCCTGGGCAAGTCACTTAATCCCACTGACTAACAACAACAACAA